TTTTTTTTTTTTTTGTGTGTGTGTACCAGGGATTGAACTTGGGTCCTTGCGCTTGCAAGGCAGGCCACTGAACCGCTGAGCTAAATCCCTGGCCCAGTCCATATACACTTAAAAATATAAGAAACATCTAAAAATTCTACGTTGTACATTATTTCACTAAACAGGATTTACAGATACATTTTCAGATGTATTTAGTTTTCTGTAGGTATTTGGAATTGTATGTATATAACCACTGAAGGATGTAGGTCCTTGGGAGGATGGTAGTAGAAGTCTATAAAGTAAAAATTGTTCTTGAAAGAACAGATTATCACCCTGATCTTACACCTTTTAGTTTACTTGAGAGTCAACTCTGATAATCCAAAAGTAAAAAATTCCTTATGAACCCTTAGAAAATAGGAAAGGTGAGAAAAGTGTCAATATCAGTGCTAGGATTTGGCACATTTTCTGAGAATGTAGCACCTTGGCATAGCTTACTGTGCCAGGGCAGAGTTAATACTAGTTATTAGAACTATTGCTATTAGTAATAGAACTAGTAACACTAATACTAGAGATATTGTTAGCTCAAGTGGTGACCCATCCACATTCTCACAAGAGTACTAGCAGCTAATTTGGTGACTGGTCACTTTTTAGAAGAAGTACAAATCAGGGCCAGTGAGGACTTCACATAGACTGTAGAGAGGTAATGGGAGAGGTAGCCTCCCTAATCCATCCTTATCAGTACTGCAGTGATTTTGCTTCTCTTGGATTTTAAGATCTTTTAGACCTGTAAGAAGAGAAAAGGCATACAGAAGCTTCAGTTTGGGTTCTGCTTAACATGCTTAACACAGCCCAAAGAGTTTCAGGTAAGAGTTTGGTGAACTTCTTGCTGCTACAAGAAGTCATTGTGGTTTATAGGGGCTTCTTGTTTTTAGGACAAAAAGGGCTTGGGAGAAATTTGGCAGTTTTTCTTGGGTAGTTATAGCTTGCCTTAAGAATGAAGAGATCTAATAATATTAGTATATGATCATCATATGGTTAACTTCTAGACAAGTAGTTAGGGTCACTTTAGATACCACACAGAATGACACCTCAGTATATATGTAAATGAGGTAGAGAAGGGCATGGTAGCAACCTTTAAGCCAATGATCCTACAGCAAAGCCCCATGCAATATTTCAAACTTCACAAGACTGCCATTTCCTGAAAAGCTCTTCTGAAAACAGCAAACTTACTTTTCTTTTCTAACTGCTTTCAATAAATTCTGGATAGCCTTAGATTCTGGATTCAGACATCTCTTCTCCCTGTTTTTTTTCATTGTGGCACTGGAAATAAATTGAAGTAAAAATATTTAAAATAGCATTGGGCCAACAAAATAGATGGAATACATAGTTAGACATTTAAGTTTTACTTTATTTAAAATTAGACATTTAAGTTTTACTTTATATATTTTCTTTTGCTTTACATTAGTTTTTATGTCATCACAAACCCTTCAACTAACTGATCTTTTATGATTTTCATCACATATTTAATAATTTATTATAACCAGGGAATTTATCATTAGATGAGATTTTACTTACATGATCTCAACATGTGGACAAGATTGACTTGCAGGAATAATTTCAAGTTTCTCTAAGAACCTTGGATTAACAGACTGAGAGCTCTCTATGCAGGTGCAGCGTACAATTCTGGAAAGAGGTATTCCTGAAGGAAAGGAAACAGGGAAAGTTAAGACAATTTCATTTTAGGCATTAGATGTGGATTAGGTAGTATTTAGTAGAACCATTAGCCTCATATTGTCACATAATCACTTAATCTGAGGAAGAATGTATCTTCTTATAACACAGGTCTGAGTGATTAAATATTCGATTTGTGGAAGAGAGGAATTACTACTTGTGTTCAATTAAGTTAATTTAGGTAAGAAAGTATCTGTGTCTTAGCCTCTTTTATTTCTTCACATTTCCCCCCATTTTTCCTTGTTTCTCTCTTCCTTCCCTCATCTTTCTCTCTTACTTTTATTCTACTTGTTTTTCTCACTTCATTTGTATTAGCAGAAGGAATCTCTGATCATTTACCTGTTTATAGACACACAGTGAAACCTGCATATATAATATCAGTATTTTTAGAATTTATATCCAGTCCTGATTTCTGATTTTATAAGTTAAATATACCTTGATGTTCCTTACCTTGAATCCCACTCAGAGTCAGGAAGATAAGGCAGAAAATAAGAATGATATGGTTCATGATGCTGAGATTGGAGGTTCCCCTATGGTAGACTCAGAATTTGTCTCAGCAGTTGAGTGTCTTAGAAAACCTAGGGGTGGTATGCAGCATTTATATGTAAAAGTACTTTCCCTCCCTATCTTGGATTGGATAATGTGACCATCAGCTCAGCAAAACCTGCTGGCTACTCTTTGGGGAAGTCCCATGTTGCAAAATCAAATGCATTATTTATATTTATGTGGCTTCCAAGTTACAGAATTTCCCTCTGCTCCCTTTTTTTCAATGAGAGTGAGTTGAGTTTCACTTTCTAAAATGTGAACTGTTTCTTGAAAATCAGAACTTTACTACATGCATAACAATTTTTAAATGGAACTATAATTCTTATCTTTTACTTCCTGTAATATATTAAGTTAATCTTTGTCAAACTCCTAACAGTTTTAAAATAGTGCATCCTAATGTGTTTTGTATCCATCTTACTTGCAGCAGTAAAGCATAATTAGAAATATATTATTTACTATAGATTGCAGTTGTGCTATACTTTGTCATTCCTTCCCAAATAATAACCCTATGAAGAAAGTAGTAGTTATTATCATTCATAGATCTATGAGGCTTGATGGTTGTATTAGGTTGCCATTCATTTATCATAGCTATGAACCATTTTCTTAGTATTTGTTTTAGGCTTTTGTGATTGCTTTCACAGGTTATAGCTTTCTATATAACTTTTTGAGAAAAAGCACTATTTATTTGGATACCTGATTTCTGATGCATTAAACAGGTTTCATGTCTTGCAGTGAATCCCTAAATGAAAATGACAAAGATGACATCTAAAGTGATGTGAGGAGCCATACTATAATTATTGTGAAAAACAAGGGTATTTTTAATAAAATAAATGTAAAAGGAGGTGTAAAATTAAAAGGAATAGAAACAGAGCTTGACAGAACAATTTGAGACAGGAAGGAAACAGGTTGATGTAATATAGGGTTCAGCTCCAGAAGATAGTCTGATGCAAAGCAAAGGAAAACAGTTTGTCATTGGTTGAGATAGTGACAAAGTTAACTGAAATCACACAGTTTAAACTGGGTGAAAAAAATGAAACAAAACTGTTTCTTAGCACTCAGTAGTACTTGGCTGATTGTTATAGGAGATGGCATCAGTAGAAAGTATGTGATATCCTTTGTAGTGGGACAAGGATTGGACCTGACAGTTGAAATTTAATAGTATCCAAGGAAGATAGTATTGTATGATCATTGATTATGTTCTTTGCAAGTGAGTGATATCAAGAAATCTAAAATGAGATACTGTTCCAAATGCAGGCTTAACCCTGCAATATGATTATGAGGCAGTTGATATTTCAAACCTAGGAAAATTTAAACTAACGGGTTCCTGGAACCAGAAAAAAAAAACTTTTAAATAAAAAATAAATAATGGAAGTCTGTCATTTGTAGCAACATGAGTGGAACTGAAGATCATTATAATAAGTGAACCAAGCCAGACAGACAAATATCACATATTCTCTCACTCATTTGTGAAAACTGTTAAGCCAGCCTTGAAGAAGAATGAATTGGAATATTGGTCAATTGAAACTGAGAAAGGTAAGATGTAGCAGAAAGAATTTCAGTAGGGAGCTGGGGATTTAGCTCAGTGGTTCGGTGGCCTGCCTTGCAAGCACAAGGACCCAAGTTCGATCCCTGGTACAAAAAAAAAAAAAAAAAAAAAAAAAAAAAAAAAAAAAAATTCAGTAGGGGCCCTAGAATCACAGAGTGAAGGAGTTATTCCTGGCTCTTATTTAACACAGTAGAGTAACTACTAGGTAAAGTAATACATGATATATTTCAAAATTACTTGAAAGGAGTACAAAATTCCTAAACATAAAAGTAATTTATGGTTGAAGATATGGAAATACCTGTTACCCTGATTAGATTAATAAACATTATATACACAGATTGAATTGCCATAATATATCCTATAAAGATGTGTAATGTTTTTAAAAAGGAACTAAACACCTAGAAAAAGTTTAAAGTGGCCCTATCTTATGCTGAATTTCTTACTCAAATGAAAAATGCCACTGGGTGTGTGTAATCCAAGCAATCTGGGAGGATTGCAGGCTCAAGCTTAGTTGGGGCAATTTAGTCACTTAAGAGAAACCCTATCACAAAATTTTTTAAAAATTTTAAAGGGGTGGGGATGTAGTTCATTGCAAAAGACTCTTAAATTCAATCTGCAGTACCAACCCGCACCTATAAAAATACTGTAGCAGCATTTAGCTCAGTGGCACTGCACCTGCCTCACAAGCGCAAGGTCCTGAATTTGATCCCTGGAACCCCCCCAAAATACTGTAAACATGCATGTAAAAAATATATGCACAATGCATTACCAGTAGATAAGTAGTCAGAGGTGCTTATTCATTCATAGTATTTTTAAGAAGTGATTTTCTTGCCTAAAACAGACCATATTGAGTTGGATTCTGTATTAGATTATAGTAAGCGTTATATACAGATCCTGGACATTTTGTGACTGAGAGATATTTGTTCCTTATTGTATTCTGAAATTTATATCCTAATCTTGTTAAAATACAAGTGAATTTTATTGCAAAATTTTAAATATGTCAAATAAATTTTAGATACCATGCAGCAATTTGTTATTTCTGCAACCAAATAACTCTCAAGTCTTATCACTATGCTGAATTTTTTTCTTTTAGTAGAAATATAAATGCCTTCCCCATTTTTCTGCTATTTCTTACTGTTGTTCCTTGTGGACTCATTATAAAATGTTTTTGTCTCTAGCAATTTTGCCTTAAAATCTATTTTGTTAGTGTAGCCAGTTTGGCTTTCTTTTGTTTATTGTTGACATGATACATATCTTTTTCTTGGTTCTTTCAATGTCAATCTATTTGTGCCTTTGCATCTAAAGTATATCTTTTATATGGTGTATAATTGAGTGATACATTTTTAAAATTCATTCTGCCCATGTCTTTTAATTGCAGTGTTTAATGCATTTATACTTAATGTAATTAATAATATAGTAGGTCTTTACATCTGTCATTTCACTATTTGTTTTTGTGTCATTTCTTTTGTTTCTGTGTACCATTGTTACTTTCTTTTGTATAAAATACATAACCTAGTACACTATTTTAATTTCCTTCTTTTCAGAATGGCTTTGTGAAGAGATAATGTAGGTACTACATGATTAACACATTAATGTATCAAATTCAGTGGTTTTTAAGTTTCAAAGCATTGTATAACCATTACCCAATCAATTTTAGAATATTTTCATCACCACAGAAAGAAATTCCTCAGTTATCACTTGCCGATCTCATACTCTTCTCAACCTTCCTATCCTTCTCAGCTTGGCAACAGTGGATACACGGCCTCTATAAGTTTGCCTGTTATAAAAATTTCATGTGAATTGAATTCTTTTCACCCTACTTTACATATGACCTAGTCACTTGTCCAATTTTTTTCACCTTGGATTGGTTTTGCCTATTCTAGAACTTCATATAAATGGAATTACTTCAACAATGTATGCTTCTGTGTTTTATAGTTTCATCTATGTACAGTGGTTGCAGGAATCACTTTGTTCCCTTTAGACCATACTGGTTTGTTTCTTTGGTACTGGGGATTGAACTCGGAATCTTGCATTTGTGAGGCAGGCAGTGGAACCGAGTTAAATCCCTGGCTTGGTTTGTTTCTTGTTGGTGAATACTTTCAATGTTTTCGGATTTTAGTTATGTATAAGGCTGCTATGAAGATTTTTTGTATAAATATTTTTAAGGGCATATGCATTGATTTTTCTTGGATCCATGTTTAGCAGTAGAACAGAATTATATTTTAAATACATAAGTGATCGTATCACCCCTCTGTATAATTTTCCAGCAACTTCCACTATGTTTAGAATAAAATCTAAAATTTTAATTAACCCATTTTACTAGGTTCTCTGTGATTTGACTGCTTCCTATATGTCTAGCTTCATCTTACATTAAACCATTCATTGCAGTATAGTCACAGTGACAATTACATTAGTACTTTTCTTTATTTGGAATCCTTTCCTGTCTATTCTTTGCATAGGAGTTTCCTTATGGACATTTAGGTTTCAGCTAGATTGTATATTCTCTTCCTCCACAGTCTGAAGTATTCATGACCCTATTTTAATTCTCTATATGACATTTCTTACTATGAGATATTTGTTTGCTTTATTAATTTAAAATCTATTTCTCCACACTAGACTGTGAACCCCAGTAGGGAAGAGATTTTTTTTTCTTTTTCTTTTCTTTCTTTCTTTTTTTTTTTTTTTGGTACAGGGGATTGAACTTGGGCCCTTATGCTTGCAAGGCAGGCAGCAGAACCACTGAGCCAAACCTCTGGCCTGAGATTTTTTTTTCTTTTTCTTTTCTTTCTTTCTTTTTTTTTTTTTTTGGTACAGGGGATTGAACTTGGGCCCTTATGCTTGCAAGGCAGGCAGCAGAACCACTGAGCCAAACCTCTGGCCTGAGATTTTTTTTTCTTATTCACAGCTATATCCCCAGCAATGAGAATGTTACCTGGCATATTGGAAGAATCAATAAAAAATTGGACAGATGGATGGATGTTACAGAATTTAAGTAGTAGCATAGCCAGGTGTGATTGTGCCCAACTGTAATCCCAGCACTTTGGAGGCTGAGGCAGGAGAATTGCTGTGAGTGCAAGGCCAGCATGAATGACTTAATGAGACTGTTTCAACAAACAAAAAGTTAGAAGAAAGTAGCAGCATAAATAAGAATTGTACTTCTTCATAAAAGAATTTATGTTGGCTCATCAGATTTAAACATTTGGGCATAGGTATTATTTTCCTTAGTTTTAGGAACCAAGTTTTACTTAAGATTATAATTTCCATAGAAGTTATTACAGATATTTTCAGCTAGCTGTAGTTCAGAATCTTCATGCCACGGATGGGTATAAATACAGCACTACTTAACTACTTCTTGTTAGTATCTTAATTATGCATTGAATGAATAAGGGGGTAGAACTCTTGCTGTATATTATGTATCTGGCTATGGGGTGGTCTTGAAAGAATGAGAGAGAACTCGACTTGTTCTTATTGTTCTCTGTACTTTGTTTAGAGAACTA